CAAGAGGAGGAGGAAGAAGAACAGGAGGAGGAAGAAGAAGAAAAGGGAGGAAGGAGGAGGAGGAAGGACAGACTGTGAGGTCCTTGGCCCTGATCTGGGTTTTGTCTTGCAGATGTTTCATGACCCAGCTAGGTAACATTATGAGTGCTAGAAGAGAAGGGGGTTTTGGAGGAGGAGGAGGACAACGACTGTGTTCTAGGTGCTTTGTGAGGTTGGTGGTTTTCTTTAGACATTTCTTAATCCTACTAGTGAACATCATCAGTGTGAGGAGGGAGGGGGATTGTAGAAAGGAGGAGGGGGAGTGGGGAGGGGGAGGGAGGGAGGGCTCTGTGAGCTTAGTGGTTTTCTTGCAGACATTTCACAACCCAGCTAGGCAATGTCATCAGTGCTAGAAAGGTGGGTTGATCTCTGTTTACGTACAATTGCTCGGCCTGCCAGTATTGGCAGGAGTGTGATTACCCCTACCCTTGATTACTATTGGGTTTTTTCCTTGATTGTTTGTCTGGTGTTAATCTCTGCTTATCTGATTTTCTCTTGGGGCTCTCTGAGCTGGGCAGTTTCCTTGCAGACTTTTCATGACCCAACTCGGGAACGTCATCAGTGCTAGAAGGGAAGACCATTTGTGGAGAGGGGGAGGAGCAGGTGGGACTTCGGGGTGGTCTTTGTTACCTACCAAAGGTAGCTGCCCAGACCCTCAGTCTCACCTGAGAAGGACAGCCAGGCCGAGGTTTTATGCACAGTGACAGTCACAGCCCGAAGACAGCTGACAGCACCCTGGTTCCCGCACGGTTCGTTCTCCGCCCAGATCTGAATTTTCCCATCAGCAAAATCCTGCGGGAACACAGATCATCCTTGACTTACGACCGGTGGTGAAGCAAGTCTCCAAAGGTTCACTTAATGACGGCAGTGGTCGCTGAACGACCTCAGCACTCACTGTGTCAGGATTCCGGCAGTTACCCCCATTTCAATCCTAAGTCTCGAGCCAAACTTTCAAAACTTCCAAAGGATTTATGGGGAGTGAACATGTCTGGCACTGCCTGGGTGCAGCCGACTCTGGAACTCATCATTCATTGTCACCCTTCACCCTGGTTTCCCCACCCCACCCCCTGGGTGTGTCATAAATAATATTCTCCAGCAAGACACATCCATAGCCAAGAGTCATCAATCATGTCCTCCAATTAGAATTTTTGCGCGACAGAAACTTCGGTCACCTAGTTACTATCTTTGAAAACATTTATGGAATGCGCTTTTGGTTTCCAAGCTGCTGCACTGCTGCCCCTCCCTTTCTGTTGGCAACTCTAAGAAGATAGTAGAAGTTTTTTATGAGTTCTAAGATAGCATTCATTCTCTCTGTACCCCCGTCAGTTTCAGGGTGATGGGTGGACAACAGACAGTTGCCTGGAAACTATCTATGAAAACATTTATGGAATGCGCTTTTGATTTCCAAGCTGCTGCACTGCTCCCCCTCCCTTTCTGTTGGCAAAACTAAAAAGACCAGAGAAAGATTTGAGTTGACATGCTGAAGGACTCCAGCGTTCATTTAATGATCATGAGAAGAAAATAAAATAAAATCATGTGGGGGCCTCGACTGACTGCCTCTGTGACCTACAGGCAGTCCTTGACTTATGACAATTCATTTAGTGACCATCAGAAACTGCCGAGGCACCGAAAACAGAACCGACACCCTTTTAAAAAATACTTACAACCATTGTAGCATTCCTTGTCACATGGTCAACATTCAGACATTCCACAACTGACTCATACTTACGATGATTGCTGTCTCCCGGGATCACCTTCTGACAGGGGAAATCAAGGGTGTGGAACCGAGCCCCTTCCCCTCCTGTGTGTCCTCACCTGCACCAGGACATAGTGGCAAACCCCACGGAAGGAGTAACGCTTTCCATCGAAAGTCAAGTAATGGAGACGTCCGTGGAGGACGCACTCGCCGGCGCACCGATCCTGTGAGCAGACCCACTGACCCCCTCGGCATGTGCTGTGGGAGCAAGCAACAGGTTGCTGTCTGAGTGGGGAGAGGGTCTTCAGTGCTAGAAGGGAAGAGGGCAGGAGGAGGAGGGAGAGGAGGAGGGAGGACTGTGGAGTCCTTGGGGCTCTCTAAGCTGGCTGGTTTCCTTGCAGACATTTCATGACCCAACTAGGGAACGTCATCAGTGCTAGAAGGGAGGGGGGTGTGGGGAGGGGAGGAGGAAGGGGGAGGAAGAGGAAGGAAGGAAGGAAGGAGAGGACTGTGGGATCATTGGTGCTCTCTGAGCTGGATGTTCTCCCCCCATTGTTTGGGCACCCAGTCTCGAAGCGACCCAGGGGGAGGCTTACCACTGGTTGCAGCGCTGTTGTAGTGTCTCTCCTGGGTGGAACTTCTGCCGTCGGTGGAAACAGGGACACCGGCTTGGCAGGATGCAAGACCCTTCCTCTAAGTAGAGTCCCGGGATGCATTCACAACCGCTCACGCACTCCGCTCGGCAGTGCTCACTGTCCGCCATGCCCACCGCTGCACAGCTGGGCGGGCAGAAGGAGACGCAATCCGTGTAGCGCTGTCCGGGGCCGCACGGCTTCTCTGTGTGGAAGTGGGACCAGAACAGAGGGATTGAATTTGAGGGGAGAGCAGGAGGCCCTGACAGAATCAAGAGAATGATAAAGTTGTCGGGTGGAATTCAGCCGGTTCGGGCCGGTTCAAGTGAACCGGATGTTAAATTTACATACTTAGTGGAACCGACCGGGTGGCCCCAGCCACTCCACCCCGGCCCTCCTAGAGTCCCCCCGCAGCCCATTTTGGATGCAGGTAAGAATGCAGGGTCCACGCGGAGGCTCTGGGAGGGGGAAAAAGTGGCCCTTCTGGATGTTCCGGAAGTCCACAAATGGGACTGTTTCCAGCTTCCAGAGGGTCTCCAGAGCCAAGGGAGGCTGTTTTTGCCCTCCCAGAGGCCTGAGGGAAGCCTCCGGATTCTGGGCAAGGTGACAAACGGCCCTCCCGGAAGTTCTGGTAGGCCACGCCCACCATGGCCACACCAACCCAGCAACTGGGCAGAGATTTTTGAATCCCACCCCTGGACCTTGGATGTCTTCTAATCTGACCCCCCCCCCTCTGCTCTAGCAGGAGACCCTGACAGAATTAAGAGAGTTGGGAGGGACCTCAGGAGGTCTTCTAGTCCAACCCACTCTCAAGCAGGAGACCTCCCTCCCTGTCTCCCTTCCTTCCTGTGAGGACAATTAACCCGTGGAACTGCTTGCTCCAATACTGGAGGTTTTTAAGAAGAGACTGCGCAGCCACTTGTCTGAAATTGTAGAGGGTCTCCTGCTTGAGGAGGGGGCTGGACTAGAAGACCTCTAAGGTCCCTTCCAGCTTCTATTCTGATCAATTCCCAAAGAGAGAGGGTCTCTCTCCCCCCACCCCCAAGACAGCCTGCGGGGCAGTAGCCAATCGGGTTCTTCACAGGGCGGGTAGAGTCTTTCGGGAGGTTTGAGCGTTTCACTCCTTACAATCGCACCATCACCTTGGAGGTGTTTAGTTTGGGATGGGGTTCTACTGGTTCGGACTGGTTTGGCCGAACCCCTTGATCAAAAGTCAACCGGTTCACTGCGACGATCACGTGGGCCCACCCGCCACCCACCTGTGCTTTACCTACCTAGATCACCTCAGCTGATCAGCGCAGCCCAGAGGCTTGCCACTTCTCCGCTGTATTACTTGACTTCTGCACACGCGTGTCAGGCGATCCCCGAACCAGTTTAAAACCTGGAGAATCCCACCCCTGTCCGGAGACCCCACTGCACCCCCTTCTGCCCTGACCTGCAGCCCCTTACCACAAAAACCGGCCCTTCTCCAGTTGATGAAGACCCCGTGTTGGGCACACTCCCGGGCGTAGCTGGCAAAGGTCTCGCAGGCGTCACCAGGCCCTGCCCGTCGGCTGCACAACAGATACTTGCAGGTATCGTAGAAACTTTGGGGGTCCACCTGCCAGGGGGAGGAAGGGGCAAAGCCTCAGGACAGGCAGGCTGGCTGTACTGGTCATCTTCAACTTACAGCCATTTGTTTAGTGACCATTCGAAATTCCGATGGCAGTGTAAAAAAAAGAAGAAGCGTTTTTCACAGGGCCGTGGCAGCATGCCCGTGATCAAAATTCAGACATGTAGCAAGTGACTCATGGTTGTGATGGCCACAGTGTCCTGGGGGGGAGGGAGATTACACGATCCAGGGGTGGGATTCTACCTGTTCGGACCGGTTCTATAGAACCAGTTGTTCCGATTCTGTGCAGTTCGGAGAACCAGCAAATCGAGCACCTGGCTGGCCTGCCCCTCTCTGCCCGCTCTTCTTCCTGGGCCCCAATGACGCCTTCTGGAGCAAAAACACCCCCCAGTAGGGTCCCCTGAGGCCCAGAAGGCCCAAAAAATGGGAGGGGGGTTGCTGCAAAAAAAGAAGCCACACCCACCCAGTCAAGTGACCACCTAGTCACACCCACCTAGCCATGCCCATAGATCCGGTTGTTTCAGAGTTTGAATCCCACCCCCGACGCGATCCCCTTTGGGCCACTTCTTGACTGGCAGAGTCAAGGGGAAAGCTAAATTCCTTTTAACAACCATGTGATGAACAAGGATTCCTTTCACCATGGTGGGAAGAAAAGCTGCAAAATCCAGGGAGATAACACACTTCCCGAACGTTTCACTTAGCGACAGCAATGTGGAGTCATAAGCGGAGGACTGCCTCTCCGGTCATGGCTGGGGGAAAACACCTGAAGTGTGTGTGTGTGTTTGTGCACAACTGACTCCTCACCTGCCTATGACATTGGCTGAAAGGACTAGAGAACAACTTTTGGCAAGTCGCCCTGGCAGCCTCCTGAACATCGTCGTCCAGCACCGTGTCACAGTGGTGCGGTTCCTCCGCGGCGTCTCGGCACAGACTCTGCTGCAATGGAAAGAATGTAATGGTTGAATGAATGAATTTTAATTGGAATAAAATAGAATAGGTGGTTTCCAGTTCCCAGTCCACGGACCAGTGCCAATCTGCAGCTTGCCGGCAACCGGTTCATGGAAACCAGCAGCGCATGCACGAAAACGACATCGCAGAATCATTCCGCAATTATTCCCGTCACACAATTGGCCAGAAAACTCATTCAAATGGGGCCTGTAACCAATGTCTCGCTCAGGGGTGGGATTCAAATTTCTTAACAACTGGTTCTGTGGGCTTGGCCTAATTTGTGGGTGTGGCTTATTGGTCATGTGACTGGCTGGGCGTGGCTTGTATGTAAATATAAATATTTATGTAAATATTGAATTTTTTATTTTAAAAAAAGAGCAACTTTTACCCAAAATCAGGCAAAGCAGGCAGGCAGATGGAGATGCTCACAGAATCACAGATTCACTCACAGATCTACCTTTCTGCAATCTGCTGCCTAATATTTGCTTGCAAACTCACAAAATTAACTCAGAACACACTATGGATGTAAATATTGATTTTTTTATTTAAAAAAAGAACAACTTTTACCCAAAAGCAGGCAAACTGTTAGGCATCCAGAAATTGTCCAATCAATCACTCTGAGACAAGTATAATCTCCATCTGATTTATTAGGAACACCTCTGGTACTTCTATTGAATTTCCAAACTGAAAGTCATTTTCAGTGCATTTCACAAAATCCACCTTCTCTCCTCTTACTTCTTACACTTCATTAATCACGAGAACCAATTAACTGCAGCTGGAATTGTTTAATGCATATGAAATAACCTTGAACTTTCCAACTCCTCCACCCCCCTCTGCATTCCTTATAACAATCTTGGCAGCTGAATCTCAGAGCTGACAGAAAGTAGGCAGGCAGGTGGAGTTGCTCGCAGAATCACAGATTCACTCAGAGATCCACCTTTCTGCCATCTGCTACCTGAGTCTGCACTGAAAAACAGAAGCTTCGGTCCTAAGGAAGGTTCAGCTCTGCTTTTAGATTAGCTAGAAAGCAAGAAATACCATGATTTCCTGCTTCCTAACTAATCTAAATCTCCCAGCACAGCAGAACAGCTGACGGTCAGGTGGGGGAAAGGAAAAATAGCAATTTACCAACCCAGGCAAGTTGGATGGCGCGCATGCCAGGTAAGGAGTGGCGCAATTTGCTGGTTCTCCGAACTGGGAAGAATCATAACAACCAGTTCTACAGAACCAGACTGACCAGGTAGAATCCCACCCTGGTCTTGCTCAGCAACAGAAATGTGTGTGGGCGGCCCTCTGTTGCCATCGTAACTTGAGGACTATCTGGGATTGGGATGCAACCGATTGCAATGCCCTCAGGAACCTGGGGCCGAGCCTCTCGGAGACCTTGTTGCCACCTCCCAAAGCCCCCCACCCCCCCGCGTCCACGGGGTACCTACCAGCCTGGTCTCTGGAATCCGCCATGAATTGCCAAAACTGGCCGCCAGCATGACCAAATCCCCTTCCACGCGTTGGAAGTCATCTGTGGGCACAGAAAGGGGGAGGGGCTGGCTCAGAGCATGGAGAGGAGAAAACAGTCGGTAGGGGGTTGGGAGAAGGGAAGGGGGCTTCCGGTTTCTTTAAGTCACCTTGAGAAGCTTAGGATACTGGGAAGCTCTCTGGACGTGCCCACCATCACCCCCCCCCCAAAAAATTCTGCTGCAGGGAAGGTGGCGGAACAGCACTCCAGATAAATAAAGGAAGGAATAAATAAGGAAGAATAGAAGAACAGAATTTCAGAATAATGGAATAACGGAATAGCAGATTAATAGAAGAGCAGAATAACGGAATCGTGGAATAACGAAATAGCAGAATAGCATAATAACAGAATAGCAGAATTGCGGAATAGCAGAATAACAAATGCAGAATTATAAAATAGCACAAGAGCAGAATAACAGTAGCAGAATAACAGAATAGCGGGAAAATGGAATAATGGAATTGTAGAATAACGGAATAACAGAATAGCAGAATAACAGAGTAATGGAATAGCAGAATAGCAAATAACAATAGTGGAATAATGGAACAGCAGAATAGCAGAATTGCAGAATTACTGAATAGCACAATAGCAGAATAACAGAGTAGCAGAATAAGAGAATAATGGAACAACAGAATAGAATAATTGAATAGCGGAATAGCAGAATAATAAAATAATAGAAGAGCAGAATAACAGAATAATGGAATAGTAGAATAACGAGCAGGAAAATGGAATAAGGGAATAGCAGAATAAGGGATTAATGGAATAGCGGAATAACAGAATAGCAGGAAAATGGAATAATGGAATTGCAGAATAAGAGAATAATGGAAACAGAATAGCAGAATAACAATTACAAAATAGCACAATAGAAAAATAACAGAATAGCAGAAAAATAGAAGAGTGGAATAACGGAATTGCAGAATTACAAAATAGCAGAATAGCAGAAAAATAGAGCAGCGGAATAACAGAATAATGGAATAGCAGAATAATAGAATAGATGAATAACAGAATAGCTGAATAGTGGAATAGCAGATTAATGGGATAGAATAACAGAATTACAGAATCACCAAATTGGAAGGGATCGTGGAGGTCTTCTAATCCAGCCCCCTTGTCAAGCAGGAAACCCTACATGATTTCAGACAAACGGTTGTCCAATCTCTTCTTAAAACGCTCTTCTTTAAAAGGGGCTCCATTGGGGGATTCTCAGGGGTTTTCCAGGGCTCCCTCTTCCATTTCTGGGGGGCGTACATTTGAATGGGAGGCCAGGTCCCATCCTCCTGGGCCTGGCATTCAGACGTCCATCTGCCTTACCTGCAGGGTTGTTGTTGTAGATGCCGCACAGCCCCTGGGTGGTGCCTTGCAGGGTGGTGCCAATGGTGACGTACACCGTGCTGTGTCCGTCAAATTTCACCCGGACTCCAAGGCCACTGTCCACAAAAAGGAAGTCCCCCAGCCACCAGATGCTGATCCCTGGAGGGAGGAGGAGGAGGAGACAGTCAAGTGGGGAGAGAGACAAACTGTGGTGTCAGGATTCTGGCGATTGCCCTAATTAAATCATGAGCCTCGAGCCGAGCTTCAAAAAATTTCAACAGATTTATTAGGAGCAGCATGCCGGCATGAACCTAAATGAAGCCAACTCTGGCCTACGTAATTCACAGTCACCCGTGACCCTGTTTCCCCCCTCCCTCCTGGGTGTGTCATAAATCATATTCTCCAATTAAATATGTTCATGGGCTGGGTGTCATCAATCACATTCCCCAATTAAGAATTTAAGCATTGACAGTGGATTCGAAATATGCCTGCCAGCCCAGGACTCTCCAGGCTCCAGCAAAAGGACCCCTCCCTTCCCTGACCCCCTCGTACATCCAGTCCTCACCCTTTCGCAGGAGAGCCTCCCTCTCAGGCACCACGATGCCATTAAGCGAGATGTTGCGGCCGTGAACCGTCACCGAGTCAAGTCCGAAAAGGATGCGGAGATCCTACCAGACAAGGAGAACGGTGAGGTTGGAAGGGTCTCAACCCACTCCCCTCTCCTCTTCAGCCCACCCAGGTTGGGGAGGTGGTCCCCGGGCAAGCATTCTGTGCAAATAGTCCTCGACTGACAACCACAGTGGAGCCCCAAATTTCTGTCGCTAAACGAGACACCCATTTAAGCGGGTTTTCTTCATTTGAATGACTTCTCTCACCACCGTTGTTAAGTGAGCCAGTCAGTTGTTCAGCAAATCTGTTTTCCCCAGGAAGGCCAATTGTCCTGTGCAGACCCCCCCGCCTTACCCGTTGACACTGGCCCAGCATGCAGCCCCCACTGCCGGATGAGATGTAGACAGCCCAGGTGCCATCGGAAGCCGCAGCCAGGATGTAGGTGCAGTTCCCCACAAAGCGGAAATGTTTCCCATCGAAGGTGCGATAGTGCAATCCGTCCCAAGTGAGACAGGTTGCAAAGGGGGGATTGTGGTACTTTTGTCGGGCCAGAAGCACTGAGTGGGTGGGTGGGCGGAGCAGAGACGGTGAAGCCACGGCCCCTGGGGAGAAATCGGCTATCAAAACGATGGCGCTCAGGTAAGACATTTTATATTTGTAATCTCCTGGGTTGTTCGTGTTTGATCTCTTTTCCGCAACAAAACTCACAAGGCCATCACACAGCCCGTTATACCAACATCAACTCCATCAACCAATCAAGAGGCAGCAGCACAGCCAACCAGCCCAGCACACCAGCCCCCCCCCCACCAGTATATATAGAGAGACGGCAGCTCCGATCACATACTGCTTGCACTGGGACGAAGCCGAAAGCACCAGCCTGAGGATGGCGAGTGGGACCTCGCCGAAACGTCGCCAAGATACTCTTAATCTTACACGGGAAAAGACTCAAACACACCTAGACCTACATATGTGTGTGTGTGTGTGTGTGTGTGTGTGTGTGTGTGTGTGTGTTTTCTTAAGTTTTCACGGGTACTTACATGTATGGCATTCAGCTTTGTTCGGGTATTTTCCCACGTCATTGTAGTTGTGCTTTTAAAGTTGTAGCAACTTTTCGGCAGAATCTCATCTGCCATCATCAGGCTTCTGTATAGTGTTCGTCTGTGAGTCAGACTTTCACAGCCGTTTCAGTTTTAAATTTGGGGCTAGCCTACTGCTGTGCCAGAATGTTTTTTTCTTCATCCTGATTGGTTGGGAGACTTGGTCTGTGTTTATTGGTCTTGAAGTTTGCTGTGTTCTGCTTGATTGGTGTTTCTAATATCTTCTGTATGTTTTGTGGCTTTTTTTGTCTTGATTGGCTGGCAAGATTGTGTTCCTCTATTGGAGGCTTTTAGTGTGGCTTGGCTCCGAATGAATGGACGGCTATCATTTATTAGGAAGCTAGGTTTCATCTGGGTGCCTGGTTGGGGTGTGTTTGAGCTGGAGGTATCAGGGGGATCTGTTTGTGCCCAGGTGTTTGTTAAAACAGAAACGGCTGTGAAAGTCTGACTCACAGACGAACACAATACAGAAGCCTGATGATGGCAGATGAGATTCTGCCGAAACATTGCTACAACTTTAAAAGCACAACTATAATGATGTGGGAAAATACCCAAACATGCAAGCATCGGCCAGCTACTCACAGCCTGAGGGCCAACTGGCCACGTCGCAGTAGCAGGCCACGGCCCACAGGTTGAGGACTGCTGTCCTAGTGGAACTGCACAAAAATAAACACCTTAAGCATACCTACACACACACACAAACACATGTCCCTCAAGTGTTCCCCTAGAATCAGCATGTAGACATTTTGACATCCCGGACAACTCACCTTTATAAAACACTGTAGCTGTACTCCATTTATTTGTAGTTGCCACATTTCTGTGTTGCTGCCCCTTGCTTTTAGGAATACATAAACCTGCGTTCCTTGCAGCTGTCAGGATCTCATTTTGATTTATTCTCACACTGTGCCGGCTCGAGTTGGACCCCCCAATTATTCCTTGGGTAACTCCCCCAACCTCATAAAATCCAACAGCCCCCATAAAATCTGGGATTGCGGTGGGGGGAGGTGTCAGGTCAGGCAGCAAAGCCCTTTGAGCCTTGCTATCCTGCCGTTGCCTCGGCCTTCCGGGACTTCTGCGGTTCAGACCTCAGAACTGCAAATCCCAGGACCCTAGAGTTGGAGGGGGACCTAAGATGTCATCTACTCCAACCCCCCACCCCTTCTTGGCCTTGCAATCCCAGGGGCTCAAGGAAGCCTGCCCCATTGCACCTGCCTAGAAACCCCCCCCCCACTAGGGGCCAGATCCCTTGAGAGAGGGGTCGCCACTGAACAAATCCACCCCCTCCACCGACCAGCAGGGGTCCTGCGTGAGAATTCTCTTGCTGGTCTCACCCAGCATTCTGGCCTCAGTGCAGCAGATGTATCTCAGACGCGTCTCACCCGTGGATCCTTTTCTGTCCTCCCCGCAACCCGGCGAGGGAGGGAGGGGCCTGGCCAGGGGTGGGCTGCAACCGGTTTAACAACTGGTTCTGTAATGCGCAGCATTCCAACAACACCAATTCGAACCTCTACAGGGCAGCCCTGGTGAGTTAAACAGCGAAATCCACTGTGCCGCGCGAATCCACTGAGGTGAAAATGATGGAAATATAGGGGCGGAGGGGCGGGGCCTGTTGATTGTTGGGACAACTGGTTCGCTAAATCTGCTACGAACCATCATGGGCCCTGGCGCAACTCACCTTTCAGGGGCTCCCTAGAGCAGGTAAAGCAGAGCCCGGAAGTGGCATTTCGCCAACTGCGTCCCCAAGGGAGGCTACAGCATTCAGACATGCTGACGAGTGAGAGGTTTTGCAACCCGGGACCATCCTGGCACTGCCCGGAGGAGAAACAGGAGCCCACTGACGCCGTTCCTGCAAAGCAGAGCCCAGGGTGAGCATCAGAGTCACACAACCGGACCCCACACAGACCGAGTTCACTCATTTTAGGTGGGGGGGGGAGGTGTCCTCGACTTACGACCATAATTTTGGCCCCCAAATTTCCATCACATTTGTTAAGTGAGCTTTGTAGGTGAGCAGGGACTTTCTGTAGAGGAGCATCTTTTGAGTGATGGGCAGATACAGATAGTCCTGGACTATGACTGCAATTTTGAAGCCCCACATTCCCGATGCTAAGTGAGACATTGTTTAAAAGAGAGCTTGGTGGGTGAGGAGGGACTGAGGCCGGGCTGCCCCATTAGAGGAATATTTCTGGAATTGACGTGCAGATTAAGGTGGTCCTCAACTTACGACCACAATTTTGAGCCCCAAAGTCCCATCACTAAGCAAGATATTAGTGACGGGAGTTCGTCAGATGAGCAGGGACGGAACTGGATTGCCTGTAGAGGAGCATTTCTTGAATGGTGGGCAGATACAGGTCGTCCTCGACTTACGATCACCACGTTCCTGTCACTAAGTGAGACATTGGTTAAGTCAGCTTTGCAGGTGAGCAGAGACTGAGCTTGGCTGCCCTGAGAGGAGCCTTTCCTGAGTTGTGGGCGGATAGAGGGGGGTCCTTGACTTATGACCCTAATTTTGAGCCCCAATTCCCGTCACTAATGTTCAGAGACATTTGTGAAGTGAGCTTTGCAGATGAGCAGGGACTGCCCGTAGCACCTTTCGAGTGATGGTCTTTAACTTATGAGCGCAATGGAAATCTCATATTTCTGTCGCTAAGTGAGACATTGGTGAAGTGAGTTTTGCCCCATTTAACTACGTTATCTTGCCCCGGTCATTAAGCGACTCATGGCAGGTTTTAAGTGAGTTCCTCCTGGTGGTTAAAGGAATCCCCACTGCCGTTGCTCATCGCCAAAGTGGATCGCCTGATGCGGCGATGGTCGTAAATATGAATCTGTCACCGAGGCTCCGGATTTTAGGGACTGTTCGGGCGTTAAGTGCAAACCGTAGTCGCCTCTTTTCGGGGGGATGCTGCAAGGGTAAGACTCAAACCACCCCCTGCACACCCCCATGGTATTTTTTCAGGCCTGAATGGTCACTAAGGGAATGGTTCATAAGTCCGAGGACCGCTCGTCTCCAAAGACAACGTCCTGAGGAAGAGGAGGAAGACTTTCCCCAGCCACCGCCTTCCCCCCAAGTTCCTCACCCTCACTGCAGTGGGGCCCAGTCCATCCGTCACAACAGGCACGCACCGTCCGATTCCAAGCGACGGGCCGGGGGTCCTCGTTCCTGTTGGGGGATGGGGTAACAAAGAGGGTGGAGACCGAACAGGCAGACATCCAACCGGGTTCCAAAACAGGTTGGGCTTGCACCTGTCAAACAGGAGAAGCCCCCCCCCCCCCCTCAGTCCCTCGCATGCGTTGTTGAACCTCCCGTGCTTTGGCAGGCCTGGGGTCAGTCTAGATGACCTCCGCGTGTCCCTTCCAATTTTTTTTCTTTTTTGGGGGGGGGAGAATTTTACATGTTTGGTATAGTTTTATATCAGCTTGTCAAACCCAAGGGGGAATTAAAGAAAAAACTAATGGAAGAGTAAGGGAAGGGAAGAAAATACGGGGTGGAGAGGGAAACCTTGGAGGTCATCTAGTCCAACCCCCTGCCCAAGCCAGAGACCCTTTATAGAATGACACAGAGTCGGAAGGGATCTTGGAAGGTCTTCTAGTCCAACTCTTTGCTGGAGCAGAAGACCCTTACAGAATTCCAGAATCAGAGAGTTGGAAGGTACCTTGGAGGTCATCTAGTCCAACCTCCTGCTCGAGCAGGAGACTTACAGAATGACAGAGTTGGAAGGGACCTCGGAGGTAATCTAGTCCAACCCCCCCTCACTGCCTCACCATCCGGGGCGTGTCTCACTTGTAAATGTAGCACAGGGTCCCCCCAGGTTCGGAGTCTCGGCGGGTCCGGTCCCGGTCGAGGTGCCAACCGGCCATGGTGTAATGGTAAACCTCCACACAAGGCACCAGGTCTTCCCGTCGGACGCTCACCACATCTTCCTCCCGCACCTGGACCAGCCTCTCACACCAGCGCCTGTCAGACAGGATAAAACACAGCCCCGGAGTTGGGGTGAGGTTCTCCAGGTCAGAGGGGTGTGTGTGTCTATCTAAAATAAAACTTAAACTGAAGCTGCTGCTTCCCAAACTCACAATTGTGAAATTTCCTATATGTAGCCTTGCTTAGGAGGTGGAAAGGAGACCACCAGGAGATCCTGGGCAAACTCTGAAGTCACGGCAAGCTCCCGGCAAGGAGGCAAGGAAAAGGTTTCCCAGGGTGTGCAACCCAGGGGTGGGACTCTCCAGGTTTTAACCGCCAGTTAGGTGATCGTGAGCAACTTGCGCGCATGAGCACGCGAGTAACACAGCTGAGAAGAGGCAATCTGCTGCGCCGCGCTAATCAACGGAGTCTATATTGGGAGGTAAAGTGCAGGGGTGGGCGGGCTTACATGATAAGTCACAGCGAGACGGTTCGCTGCCTGCTGATATTCGGAGCAAACGGTTCAGTCGAACTGATCCAAACCGGTTAGAATCCCACCCCTGGTTGCAATCGAGAAGGAGCAGAATTCCGTCGCTCGCCCTTTCTCTGGCCCAGAGAGATTCGAACGGAAACCCACGATCCCATCGTTGCCTGTGGTGTTTCGCGAGGGGGAGAACACGGGAGGACTCGGGTTGACTTCCATCCTTACCCATCGTCCACTGCCAGTGTCTGCCAGATGGAAAGCCATGCCAGGATGCCCAGGAATTTCCTGGCACGTGGAAAGACCGCTTGCCATATCTCTGAGACAAGGCCCATGGCGGGTGGCCGGTCCCTTGGTGGGGAAAAAAGTGGTTGAAAACAACTAGTCAAGTTGCTAGTCCTCTTTGAGGTCGGTCTGGAGAAGCTGCCGCTCGGGAGAGCAAAGCCATGCCCAATAATAATGCAACAATAGGGAATTGAACCCCCAAATTCTATCGCTAAGTGAAATGTGAACTTCGCCTGAACTGGCAGCCATTTTAAGAGGTCTGGATTTCAACTCCCAGAATTCCCCAACTGAGCATTATTTCTCATCTGGCAGCCATTTTAAAAGGTCTGGACTTCAATGCCCAGAATTCCCCAGCTCAGCAATATTTCTCAACCGGCGGCCATTTTAAGAGGTCTGGACTTCAACTCCCAGAATTCCCCTGCTGAGCAATGTTTCTTGAGAAACATCCCTCAACCAGGGAATTCTGGGTGTTGAAGTCCTTTACAGTTGGAGAGGACCCCTCTCTTAAAGTGCTGGAAACAGGCACTGTGGGGGGTGAGTCTCCATTCTCCCCCCCCTCCAGATTCTAGGGGGAAATCTTGCTTGCCCCCCCCATGGGGCCAGTTCCCACCTCCCAGGCTCATCCAGAATCTGAGGTTGGATTAGAGGACCTCCGAGGTCCCTTCCGACTCTCTTATTCTGTCCTTCTGTAAAGGTCTCCTGCTCAAGCAGGGGGTGGGGCTAGATGACCTCTGGGGTTCCTTCCAAGCTCTCTTCCGATCCATTCCTTGATGGATTGCTTTGGGAAAGGAGCCCAAAGAAACCCCCCCCTTCCTCGCCATCCCACCCTCTGTTTTATACTGCCCCCCCCCCCCCGGGTTCCCCCTTCCTACCTGGAGGGGAACGGCACTCTGCCCATGCTCTGGAGGCCCAGAATCCGAAGAAGAGCAACGAGGGAATGCCTCTGGGAGAGATTTATAACCCGGCTTGGGATTAGGGTGGGAAGCATCTGGAGGAGCTCTGATTGGAGGGCTGCCGCCCCACATTTTAAAAAATGGGGGGGGGCTGGTTAGGGAAGGGGATTCGTCCGGCCTCTGTACCCCTCCCTTCTTCCTCTTCCTCCTCCTCCTTATTAAAACCCCAAATCGGATTGAACTGGATTAAAAAAAGGATTTTATGCAACGGCCGGGAAAGTTTTTCATCTCCTGTGAGAGTTTTTAGCCATCCTGGTTTCTTCATTTGGGGGGGGGGGAGGGGTCACCCCTTTCTTTCACAGCGGGGTTGCCCCTCACTCAAAAGTCCTGTTTCCAGGGGTATCTACCCCCGGCAAGAATAGCAAGGATGTTCAAGAACAAATCGGAGAAATGTTGGAAGTGTCATCAGATACCTGGATCACATTATTATAAGTGGTGGACGGGTGTGGAAGCCAAAGGATGTTGGACTAAAATACACACATGGTTGGAAAAAAAAAAATGACAAAACAGCATATAGACTTAAAACCAGAGACATTTTAATTGGGGATTTTATCTGAAAGTTATAGTAAAGAAATAACATAACTGATGATTAATGTTTTAACTGCAGCTAGAATTGTATTTGCTCAAAACTGGAAAAGTGGAAAAAAATCCGAACCAAAGAGGAGGCGAGAAAGAAAATAATGGAATGTGCAGAAATGAGTAAACTGACATTAGCAAATAGAGAGCAAGAATATTATAAAATTTGGGACTTATTTTATCAATGGTTAAATAAGAAAATAGGGAAATAAAATACAATACAATATAAATGCAATATTATAATGGAGATAAGACAATGTAATGATATGTTATAATTGACTATAATGAAATAAATGATATGATGAACTAGGTTTTGTAAAAGTTGAAACTTGCTCGAAAAGGATGAAGTGAATTCACAATTAAAGTCCAATAAGGAGTTAATAATAATATAATATGCATACTTGATCTATATAGTATAAACTTTAATAATGTATCTAGGAAAGAGTGTTGATATTGGGCACAAGAAGATTTCTACCAACTGACACACTGTACAATGGAAAGGTGGTTTTATGTTTTGTGTTTATGTTTGTATTTGTTTATGTTTGTTGTTAGAAAATAAAAAAATTGGAAAAAAAATAATGGAATGTGCGGAAATGAGTAAATTAGCAATCAGAAAGCAGGAAGAGAAAGAATATTATAAAATATGGGATTTCTTTTATCAGTGGCTAGATAAGAAAACAGGGAAATGAAATATATTATAATAACATAATATAATAGTAAAGATAAGATAATGAAGTTGAGATTTGCTCGAAAAAGATGACGTGAATTTATAATTATAGTCTAATAAGGAGTTAATAATAATAATAATAATAATAATAATAATAATAATAACAACAACAACAACAACAACAGTTCCTAGGTCCTTGGTTAGGACTCGAGCTGTTGAACTATCAACCAGCCCCAAAGACTGTGAATCTCACTAAAGATTAACCATTAATAATAATAATCTATCTTAACAGTTCTTAGGTCCTTGGTTAGGACTTGAACTGTTAAGTTTTTACCAGGTCCAGGCTGTGAATCAAATGGAAGATTAAATAATAATAATAATAATAATAATAATAATAATAATAATAATAATAATAATAATAATAATAATAATAATAATAATAATAATAGCATCGTTGATCTATATAATATGAATTTTAATCTAAATTTAGAAGGGAAAGACTGGTGAAATTGTGCCCAAGAGATATGTACCAAGCAATACACTGTACAATGGAAAGAAGACTTTATTTGATGTTTTATGTTTGTATTTGTCAATGTTTGTTGTCAAAATAAATAAATAAAATTGGGGGGGAAAGTCCTGCTTCCCCCCAAACCCGTCCTCAGCCAAGCCCCCCCCCCCCCAGGCGATTATCAGAATTAGGATTTTATTTTAGGAATAAAGTAGCTGAGCTTTTTAAATAAACATTTGGCCTATGGAAGAGAAGGATTGGGTGGGTGGGTGAGGGGACACGATGGCCATCTCCCCATATTTGGGGGTCTGCCCCAAAAGAAGGGGCTCCGGGGTAAGGTGGGGTTTCCACTCCTTTTCTAAAGCTCCCAGAAGACAGATGGGAACAAATCGAGGAGAGAAGAAGCTTGGAAGGAAGAAAGGAAGGAAGGAAGGAAGGAAGGAAGGAAGGAAGGAAGGGAGGGAGGGAGGGAGGGAGGAAAGAAGGAAGGAAGGAAGGAAGGAAGGAAGGAAGGAAGGAAGGAAGGAAGGAAGGAAGGAAGGAAGGAAGGAGGCATTTCCTGACATTGAGGACAATGAACCAGGGGAACTGCTTGCCACTGGAAGGCGTAGGGGGCTTTGTCGCTGGAGGTGTTTAAGAAGAGACCGGATGGATGCTTGTCTGGAATAGTATGGGATTGCCTGCTTGAGCAAGGGGGTTGGACTAGATGACCTTCAAGCAAGGTCCCTTCCACATAGGATAGATAGATAGATAGGATAGGTAGGTAGGTAGATAGAGATAGACATATAGATAGATGATGGATAATAAGAGAATGAGACAGACAGACAAACAATGAGATAGAGAGAGAATGAGACAAACAGACACAGTGTTATAGATGGATAGGTAGATGAGAGACAGAAATACACACACAGAGAGAGAGAGAGAGAAGAAAATGAGACAGACAAACATAGAGATGGACAGATAGATATATCAATAAATGATAGAGAATGAGAGAAACAGACAAATGAAATAGAAAGAGAGGGGGAGAGAATGAGAGAGAAAGAATCAGACAGACAGACATTGAGATAGAGATAGAGATAGATAGATAGATAGATAGATAGATAGATAGATAGATAGAGAGAGAGAGAGAGAGAGAGAGATGATGGATAGATAGATAACGGATAGATAGAGATAGATCTATAGATGATAGATAATGAGAGAGAGAATGAGAGAGACAGATAGACAGATAGATAGATAGATAAATAGATGATAGATACATACATGGATACATAGATAGATACATAGATAGATTGATAGATACATAGAGATAGATAGATAGATAGATAGATAGATAGATAGATAGATAGATAGATAGATAGATAGATAGATAGATAGATAGATAGATAGATAGACAGACAGACAGACAGACAGATAGATACATCGATAGATACATCGATAGATTGATTGATAGATTGATTGATAGATACAGAGATAGATAAGATAGATAGATAGATACATACATACATACATACATACATACATACATAGATACATCGATAGATAGATAGATAGATAGATAGATAGATAGATAGATAGATAGATAGATAGATAGAGATAGATAGATAGATAGATAGATATAGAGAGAGAGATAGATAGATAGATAGATAGATAAATATAGATAGATAGATGATACATAGATAGAGATACATACATAGATACATAGATAGACAGAGATGTATAGATATAGATATATAGATATATAGATGATAGAGAATGAGAGAGAGAATGAGACAGACAGACAGACAATGATAGATGATAGATGATAGACAATAGAGAGATAGTTACATAGACAGACAGATAATGAGAGACAGACAGGCAGGCAGGCAGACATGGTTCCCTCCATGGTATGGAGTCTCCTGCTTGAGCAGGGGGTTGGACTAGATGACCTCTGAGGTCTGGATCTCAGTTTGATTTATTCTTGGGAGACCCTACCACCCACTCCCAACTCGAGTCGGAGACACCCCACCCAATTCTTTCTCTGACGGTTTGTGGACCCCCAAAAAACTGCGGGGGGTCTGGTAAGGGGGGGGGAACAAAGGAGGCATTCCGAGGACAAAAGAGGGGACTGTAACCAGGATCTGTCTTGGCGGGACCCAAATTTGCCCCCCCCCCTATCCCAGGTCTATAGACGGACCTGGGCTAAGCCTCCCTTCCTGGACCCGGCTTATCCCTTCAAAGAATTTGGAGTCCCCACAGGGTGTTTCAAACTGGGGAAGGCAGATGAAAAGATCTGTTATGCCTCCAGGGATGGTCCGAGAACCGGAGTGTGGAAGGTCCCTCGTGACAATCTGATGGATGATAGAGATAAAAGGGTAGGTGGATGGATGGATGGATGGATGGATGGATGGATGGATGGATGGATGGATGGATGGATGGATGGATAGATAGATAGATAGATAGATAGATAGATAGATAGATAGATAGATAGATAGATAGATAGATAGATAGATAGAGATAGATAGATAGATAGATAGATAGATAGATAGATAGATAGATAGA